AAAAAAAAAAAAAAAAAAAAGACAAAAAGAAAGAAGGGACTCCAAAACCTATACTAACAAGAAGAAGAAGGAGAAGGAGAAGGAGGAGGAGAAGAAGAAATGTGAAAAACATGTTGAAATTTCACCTGGGCACTTTGGTAAATGCTGGTAATCCCAGCTGTGAATGAGGCTGAGGCAGGAGAATTCCAAGTTCATGTCTCACCTGGGCAATTTAGGAAGATGGAGAGAGGAGGGAGGAAGAGGAGGAGAAGCGGGGGAAGCAAAAAGAATTAAGATGCATTCTGTGTGTACTGATTCCCCGTGATAAGGGTCACCGTTCCCTTCCGCAAACAGGCTGTTATGGTTCAGGTCTGGATGTCCCCGAAAGCCTCCTGTGGTCACAGGCCGGATCTAGAGTGTGTGAAGCTGGAATTGATTTGTGATGCAGTGCTAGGCTCAAGGGCACTGGGATTAGGAGTGTGAGTGCTTCCTGCCCTAAGTAGCCTCAATGAGATAAAAGGAACAGGGAGACTGTTACATTCTCCTGCCTTTGCAGCCTGTGGGCTCCCTGTTGTTTCTCCTCCGTGATGCCAGTTTGCCGTCCCAGCCTCGGAGCCAGCCGATCATGGACTGAAACCTCTACAAACTAAGCCAAATAATCCCCTTCCTTTTTAACTTTGGGTGTTGGGTATTTGTCTCAGCAATGGGAGAAAAGGAACTAACACACAGGCAATTGTGAAAATTTTAAAAATTGAAAAACAAACAAACAAACAAAAAAACAACCAGAAGGCTGTGAATGCAGCTCATTGTGAAGGCCCCAGGGGTAACCCCAGGACTGCAGAAAACAAGCAAAGAGAAAGGAGTTGAAATTTCACCGCAGTTGGCTGGTAGGTGACTACTGAAAGAGCTTTGGCAAGAATCGAAATCGTGTACTTTCCTATATTTAAAGCCTCTCTCTCTCTCTCTTTCTCTCGCTCTCTTTTAATTATTTTTTTGGTACTGGGCATCAAACTCAGGACCTTGTGCTTGCGAGGCGGAACCACTGAGCTAAATCCATGGCTCTCTACATCTTTTCTTGACGGCAGCCCTGGGGATGGGCTGCAGAAACCAGGAAGCTCAGAAGGGTCAGATTGGTTATGACGCCGTTGTTGCTCAGCTCCCAGTGCAGCCTCCTGTCCTGTGCACTTTGCTGGGGTGGGGAAGCCACATTTCACTTAGTGCGGTGTCACATGGCTCTGTCTCGGACTCTGGAGAGCAGGTTTGCTCAGAGACTGCAGAACTAGGGTGGTCGCCCCAGTCTGCCCGGGGCTTTCCCACTTGTAGCATCGGCAACCTTTCCAGGACCGTTGGGCACAGGAACAGGAAGCCTTTCTCCTTGTGGTCTGCCTGCCGCTGGGGTGTGTTACTCCGTCGACCCTTCTTCCGCATCTGAGACATGGGCACCAGCCAGCAGCCTCTCTTCATAGCCTTTGTCCTTCAACTCTGGAAGGGGTAGTTCTTCCTGCACTTGCTACCTCTGTAATAACGAGAACAGTGGACCTCAAAGTGTGGTCTGCATAAAGTGTGAACATCTAAGAACTCGTTGAAAATGCAAATATGCTGGCTGTGGTGTTGCGTGCCTGTAATTTCAGGACTCTGGGAGGCTGAGGCAGGAGGAGTGTAAGTTCAAGTCCATCCTGGGCAACTTAGTAACTTAGCAAGACCCTGTCTCAAAAAAAAAAAAAAAAATCTAAAAACAGCTGGGGATGTGGCTCAGTTCAGTAAAGGCTCTAAGTTCAATTCCCAGTGTGGCGTGGGATGCAAATGTTAGGGAGCTGTCGTGCTGAGTGTTACGGGTGTGACCATAGACTCACAGGGAGGGTAAGTTATTTGATCAAGTGGTCACACAACTGCAGCAGTCAGTGAGGGAGTTAGGATTCGAATCTATACCATCTGAGCTTAAATGTATTATGCTCCCTGCCTCTAACATTGTCTGCCACGTGAACTGAATTCTGTACGTTTGATCCCACTATTATCTTGTAAGTGGATAACAGAGGTTAGTTCGTGTTCTCTTGCTGTAACCAATACCTGAGATAATCAACTCCTCAGGAGGAAAGTGTAGGGGGCTTCCCTACTGATGATTGCCCGACTCAGGCTGTAAGCAGTTCAGGCTGTAAAGAGTCAACCCCACAATTGGTTTGTTTATAAAAGTGAGTTTGGCTGAAGCCTACATGCTGAGTTCAGAGTGACTCTTACCCAAATTCTGTTCCCAAAGTTAAAAGCCTTCTGTGTAACTGTACTGTATCCCTAAATGTACCAATAAACTCAATTAAAAAAAAAAAGTTAAAAGCCTTCTTTACTAAAAAGACAAGGTTAGGGCCAGGGATTTAGCTCAGTGGTTCTGCCACCTGCCTCACAACTGCAAGGTCCACAGTTTGATCTCCGGTACCAAAACAAAACAAAACAAAACACCCTAAAACAAAAAAAGTTTAATTATTAACTACCACCAATATTTCGTCTGTTCTGTTCCTAATGCAAGCCTTGCCTGCATCAGCAATGTATCCACAGCAACTCCACATAGCCCCTTTACCTCAGGCTAACTATGATGTCACCAATAAATATCGACGGCTCTGGGTGCTCAGGGCCTTTGCTTGTTCAAGCTCTGATTGCTCAAACACTGGTCATCCTGCCTCCCTATGCATCTGTCTCTCTCGCTGTCTCTCTGTCTTTCTTCTCACCTTGCACCTGTAACATCAAGCAGGAGATCAAAATCCACTGCAGGGGGTATAAAACATATTTGTATCACTACAGAAAGACTCTAAAAAGCATTTGAATAAGGGGCCAGAGATTTAGCTCAGTGGTGACAGAAGCTGCCTGGCAAGGGCAAGGTCCTTAGTTCAATCCCTGGTTCTGCAAAACAAACAAACAAACAAACATTTAAGTGAAATATTTGGCTCCCTTTTCTATAATTACCCTTTAAAATGCTTATAGATATATTTGGTTTGTCTGTCTTTATAGTATATATGCTGTACCTTTTGGGGTTCATGTCTTGTTCCCCACTTCTTCTGTCACCAGCTAATAATGTACGTGCCATTTTTAGTGCAGAAATTACAGATCTATCAGGTCTGTGGTTTAAGTTGCCATGCTGCTAGAAAGTGTGCTTTCTCTTTCCAGTTGTTTACCTGCTTCCTGGAAAAAGTAGTAACTCTCTGTAGCATTACGGAGTTTCAGTGAAACCAAATTTTTGCCATTAAAAACTGGTATTGAGGGCTGGGGATTTGGCTCAGTGGTTCCAGTGCCTGCCTCGCAAGCACAAGGACCCAAGTTTTATTCCCAGTACCAAAACAAAACAAAACAAAACAGAAAACCTAAAAACTGGTATTGTACTGAACTATCCATTGAGAAATCAGAATAAAAATTTTTACTTAAAAAAAAAACCAAAAACCTACTGCAGGGGTCTCCAGTAGGAAACTTTTCTTTTGGCTTATGGCTTTGGAGGTTCAGTCCATGGTAAGTTGGCCCCCATTGTTTTGAGCCTGTGATGTGGCAGAACATCATGGCAGGGAGCGTGTGTAGGAGCAACCTGTTCACCTCATGTTAGCCAGGCAGCCACAAGAGAGAAACAGACCAGTTAGGGTCCCACAGTCCCCTTGGAGTCACCCCAGTCACCTAGAATCACCCACTAGGTCCTTCCTCTGAAAGCCCCTAGCACTTCCCAGTAACACCAGATTGGAGACCCAGCCTTTAATACACCGACCGGTGGGGGACATGAGGATCCCAGCTGTGTCAAAGGTACATTGGAAACTCTCAGCGTGTGCGTGCCACATAGAGAATTACTATTATTTTTGGTACCAGGGATCAAATTCAGGACCTTGTGCTTGCAAGGCAGGCATAGTGCCCCTGAGCTAAATCCCCGCCCCCTCCCTTTTTTTCTTTTTGAGAATTATTTTTCTCTTGACATAAGCCTGTTTATTAACAAGTTAGAAAGGAGGAAAGCTTCTGGCAGAGGATCTACGTACATTTCAAGAATGACAGGGCCGGGGATTTAGCTCAGTGGTGCTGTGCCCACAAGGTCCTGAGTTTGATTCCCCAGTACCAGAAAAAAAGTAAAATGCTGAATTTCAAGTGACTTCATAGTAAGCAAAATTATGTCAGAAAGCAAAAATATAGAAATTTATTTTAACATTCCAGGGGTCCAGAATAATGCTTACTGAGATGTCTGGTTAATTTATCAAAGACTTCCAGACTTCATCAACCAGCCCTCCTCACCTAAAAGGAAAACAAAACTCCGTGTACCCAGCTTGCCAGATTTGTATGATTTTGTTTGCTTTGGGCTCTGGGAAGTGGTGATCCTCCCACCAAAAGTACAGATCTCCTTATTTGTGGATACTTTTCCCTAACAAAATTTGTTTCTCTTTTATTAGAGACTGATTAATGGAATAAAAAAAATCTTATCTTGAAAAGCGGAGTACTATACTTCTTAGTTTAAAAAACACAGGAAGATCTTAAAATAGGATTTCCTAAAATTCAGCCCCAAATAAAATTGTGTTATTTTAAGGTGAACTGCTTGTAACAACTGCCAAGTCAAGAACAGCATCTGCCAGCCGCCCTGATGCTCCTCTGTGCTACCTCCCTCAACTTCAACCTCTCCCTCCTCCAAAATTAACCAGCAGCCGGACTTCCATGCTTCCATGGTGATCTCCTTGGGGGGGGGTTGTTTCTCTCTCTCTCTCTCTCTCTCCTCTCTCTCTCTCTCTCTCTCTCTCTCTCTCTCTCTCTCTC